CCTGTTAGAGAACCACGTTAAATTTCCTTAAAGTTAGGCCTTACTATGTTCTCTCTTATTACGTGGTTTTTGACAAGTAAAAGTGCAAATGCTATATCATGACAAGGAAAATAGGAAATGAACCTTGTCAAAAATAAAAACTGTCAAATCAGCGCAGGCTAATAAAACATTAAACACTCCCACCTGTCATTCGCTAAGCTTTCGGCAGTTTTTCTCTCAGTGGACCCGAGGCAGTGGCTGTATCAGAACGGCATGCCAGGCACCAATAAAACAACATAAGGCGCAGTGCCGTCTCTCTGGTTTTGGGCTTGGTATTTGGCGAACGACGTTACTTGTAAATTTAACGCAAATTGTCTGTAACATGAGCTCCTCCACGAAAGGTGTCAGAGGGGATTCTACGGGGGGTTGGGTGTGGGAAAAACGGGAATGGGAGAATGGTCTGGTTTTTGGGTAAGGAGGGGCAGGAGAGGGGGCTAAGGGCACTGCGGGTGGCGGTGAAAGTGCCAACAGCAGTGGCAGCCATTAAATTTTCAAGAAGTGTGTACTTGAGCAGGAAACCCAGGCAGACAGCAGCAGGAGGTGGGATCAGGTGACAGGAGGGGTTTCCCCCCAGTAGGCAGACAGAGCCACTAAAGATTATATAGGTTCAGAAGGGCGACAAAATTGTCGCAATGGAATCACCCAATAACGGAAGTCTGAATTTGAAAAGCATCTTCAATGTATGACTTAAGTTACTAGATAGTTTTCCCATCACTGAATGAAAGTTGGCAAAGTTTCGCCAAACTCAGTTGGAAAAGTTAACCTATAGGGGCTTAAGATTTTCTTAGATTGGATGCTCAAGTGAAAATGTGAAGAGTACAATTGAAAGATAAACTAAGCTGGGAAATGAAATATTTCCAAAAATAAAAATTAGTTGGTATATATTTTATATCCTGTTTTTAATAGTATTCTATGAACCACCCTAGAATTTCCCCCAGTGTTCAAATAGTTCAGTGGTGCGATCATTCCGTTCAGATTATTAAATTCTCGGGAACCCAAGGAAATTCCCTTACACTCCGATTGTCGCCTGGCGGAATTTGTGTGTGAGTGGGTGTCTTCTGGTTTTTAGTGGTATTACGTGCCTCCTGGGAAACGTTCTCGTCATCGACATCACTGTGCGCCTCGGTTTCGGTGTCGGTTTCAGTTTCGGTCCGGGAGCATTTAGTGACACGCATCCTTGGGGTGCTATTTGCGCCAAGCCGCAGGGCTGAGGTCTTTCGCTTGCCTCCCCCAATTACACCTGTTCGCAAAACGGTAAATATATTTAGCAGACAACTTGTTTGCCATTTAGCAGCTTTTCATTGCTTCAGTTAGTTTTTACGGCACGCAATTAAAAGCTGCAGCATTGTGCAGGCTTTGTTCGCCCTGCGATGGCATTGAAACACAGGCGCAGCCAACAAAAGGTGTAAATTAACATAATGACAGGGACGGCGGGGCGGTATAGGAGAAGGGGGTCCTGATGGCAAGAAAACAAGTGCCAGAGCAAAAGTGCAAAGCATTGCCGAGCACAACAAAAATATTTATGGCAATGCAAATGGCGTCTGCATAAAATTTATTGACACTTTACTGCGCATTGTCATTGCGGTGCGAAAAGTGGGCGGTGGGCGAATTCTAGAGGAATGGATGGGTGTGGGAAAAGGGGAAAGGAGGGACAGCTTCCGTTTCCATCGTTTTGCGCTGCGGTTGACATTGTTACGCCCACCGTCACGGCCACGCCTCTAGTTTTTATACCCGGTAAACGTGGATTACAAGGGTTTATATATTATATTCGAAAGAGCGAAAACATCGTTGATAAAGATAATCCAATCTCTAAAGAAATCCAAAAAATTTTTAAAAATTATTTTTTTTCGCAAATTTTGAGCTTAGATCAGAAATGGATTCAAAAAGCGATGATAAAGCAATACTATATAATATAGTAAATAATAAGAAAAAAGTATTTATGGTATTGAAAAGGGGGGAAAGCAACCTTTGAGATTAGAAATCCGTAGAACTGCAGAAGCCAAAAGTTGATTATTAATGCCAGTCTCCTTAGATAAAACCTTGTTTAAATTGTTAAAAAAGACAAAAACCGTAAGCTAGTCAGACATTGGTTCGATGTCCAGAATTCCATAGAGTGGCAGTACCCAAAAAATATAACATATGGAATAGAAATAAAAAGTTTAAAAAAGCTGCATCGCCTAGAGGTATGCAATTAAAGTGGAAACAGGGTATTTCATTGTCCTGGAACTTCTCCATAGGATTATTTTATGTTTTCTTTTTGTAGTCAGTCTTGTTGCAATGTACGCAACGTGTGCTTGTGTGCGAGGACGTGAGCTGGGTGTGTGTGTGCCGCACAAATCCGCTCCCATTTTAATGAGCAAACTTTTTGCTCGTGCGCGCCATTTATTTGCTGTTTAGTAAACTGCATTTCAGATAAAATGTCGCTCCTGTGTGTGTGTGCCAGTGTGTGGGCTTTCGAAAATTAATTTTAAATACCCAAACCCAGTAACCAGGGGATTATCGCCCAGATCGCTTGCCTAAAGGGATTCTATTTGGTTGCGTGAATAATTAAGTGGAAATTATGTAAACGGCTTAGTCGGGGCTTTGGCCAACACATGTTGACATGGAATTTTCGGTGCTAAAATCGCAAAATCAATAGGCAAACCGTTTAGTCAGTTAAACTAGGCGCTGGAATTTATCGCAATAGTTTTCTGAATTTGATTTCAACCCAAACCCTACGCCAAACCGTTAGTTTCGGCAACTGTAGACCACAGCTTCAACTGCGCAGCCCACAAAAGCCAACTCAAAGCATGGCCCAAACCGACCTTCTACCCGAACATCAAACACATCTCGGCCGACTCATTTATTATTATGCTCCAAAGCGAATTTAATTACAATGGAAGCCCACAAGGCGTCGGTTAATGTGTAAGCGAAGCGGCAGGCATTTCAGGGTAATTCAAAGTTGTCAGTTATGAGAAACTAGAATCAATCTAATGCGTGTAGAGAGCCATATCTTCATTGTAGGATAATGCAATTTCTAATACACAAATCCGATTAAATTGTATTGCTAGATAGAATAAACCAAAAAGGCTTTGCTTCTCTTCTTGCATGAAACTTGAGTTAAAGTTCCAAAAGTTTTATTTTCAACTTTTTACCTTCAAGCTTTTGTTCCTTTTGATTGTAATAGAATTCCAGAAATTGAAAGTTTACAATGTTAAAGCAAGAATCTTTGGATATTGTTCATAAAACCAAATAACCAGACTGTTTTAGATACTCTTCTGCTTCTAACTTAATCAAATTATAGTAAGTTAATTAAAAGTGTAGCAGAATGGTCCTTTATTACTGGGAGGAGTCTGGTAAAAGGCTTACGGGGCTTTGAAAGTTAATGGAAGTGGCAGATGCTCAAATCACCTTGAACAATGCAGCCGGGTGGGTGTGTGTTTTGGAAAGCTCTTAATAATTTCCGCTGGCTTTGGCACACGCGAACAGGCACTCTTACTTTACGTTGCGTATACGCCATGGCTGCCAGCACGTGGCTGCTTGAATTTCCTTTTGCCAGCTGCACTATCAGTGGGTTCTGTTATCGTGTGGGCTACATGATAGATAGATAGATGGATATATATATATATTGCAAAGCGTGCGAGCAAATAACAAATGGACAGACGGACGGACGGCTTGTCATAAAGTCGAGAAGCGCATTTCCATGTTGGTTGTCAAGTTGTGACTGAACTAGAACAGAATTCATATCGCACCCATGCCTAGCAAATCGAAATCATTAACGCTGTGTATTTGTCTACCCCCCGTTTTCGAACCGCCCCCCAAAAACACTCCCACACCACCCGCCACCCACCACCACCCACCGTGCAGGCGGTGCTCATTTAAAGTCGAACGGCGCCGACGGAGAGCCTTGGATGCAGCCGGTGGTGGCCTATTTGGAGGTGTCGTCGCGACCCACGAAATCGCCAAGTAGGTGGCGCCATCTCACTCTTTCACTCTCTCTCTCTACCCCTCTCACCCCACCACCACCCACACACACCCACTCTCAAATCAAAACCCCCCCCTCTCGATGTGTGCGCCTTGGGCTGCGCGTGTGTGTGTGTTTGTTTTTTGGTGTGCGAGTGCCTGTAGTGCGCGCCCGTAGTTTAAAGTTGCGTTCTAGTGTCCACCCGTAGTTCCAGTTGCCCTAGTTGACCAACTCAAAACGCTTCCTAGTTGTACACACACATCAATCGAAGACTAAACACCCGCAGAGAAGGAATCTTAAGTTCCATAGTGATTACAAATTCGCAACTTTAATATTGACCAAAATATCCGTTTGATCTATTGGGCCTTCAAATATAAATATCTTATCTAATCTTATCTTAGGTTGTTACTGCCCTTAATGAGGTTTCCTTAAATAACCAATGTAAAAAGTCAAATGTTATCAATATTTGTTTATAACCACCAAAATATTCGATGGATCTAATAGCATAGCAAAGATAAATGCAATCTAATCATTTGAACTAGCTTATATTGGGTGATTAACTAATTGACTTTAATGCCATAGTTCAAGTTAAATATATTCATATCAGTTTTTCAGGATTCCAATAATATCTCAGTACCAATATAAATGTTGGTATTTTTTGTTAACATACAATTTATAAGAATATTTTTACTAAGCACCTAAAAATTTAAGTAATTAAAAAAAGCTTAATATTTTATTGAATCATTTGTATGTGCTTAATGACCAACGTGATATTTTGAGTTGTAATAGTCAAAAGCCAAATTCAACGATATTTTTCTCTGTGCACACAAAGCCATACACACCCACACATTGAGATGCCTTGTTAACAGCTCTTGTTCCGATGCTACGTTCTATGTATGTGTTTTGTATTGCTGTGTGTGTCTATGTCTAACCGATATCCTTGAAGTAAAGACTTAAAACTTATCACTGGGAAAACCCCGTGCCGCTCTCTCCCCTCTTTCTTTGTCCCTCTCCACAGAGTGTGATCAGACATTCGTGTCGCGGATCGGTGGACCCCAGAATGGCAGCTTTTCGGCCCCGCTGCTGCACAACCATCGCAATCACTCGCGCCAATGCCTCTACACCTTCCTAGCAGGACCTGGACAGCGTGTCGAAGTAGTTTTTAAATCGTTTAATTTAAGAGGAAGTCCACCAGAGTGAGTACTAGTTGATCGAAATTTATAAGAAACTAATAACAACTATATAACTAACTAATAACTAACTAACCATCATTTGAAAGTACTTATCAAAACTTGTCAAAACTTACCTAGAGTTTTCATACTGTGTAATGTGAAATGTCTATGTTACATCTCTTACATAAGTTTATTCAATTGTTAGGATATGAAATTCCAACACATTTATTGCAAATCACAGAATTACAAAATAAGATAAAATTTTTATAAAACTAAACATAACATATGGTACTCGTACAACATTTTCAAGCCTAAACTTTTTTCAAAAACATAAATTTAAATTAAAGGATAGGATTTAAGGCCAAGATATAGCTTGAAATCTGCACATAAAAATAATGTACAATCGAAAGTAAGGCCAGAAAAACCTGATTGTTTTTTAAGTACTTTAAGATCTTAAAGTTATAATTGCGTTTACACTGCAAACTAAAACATTTTTCTTTGCTCATTTCCTTTTTTGCAGCGGTTCGGCCGTCGGTGAATTACCAAGGTGAATATGAGACCCTATTAAATCATTTAATCATCGGAGATGTCAGCTCTCTCCTAGAATTTAGTTAATATTAAATTTCCTTCTGCCTTTTCCCAGTTGTGTTCATGAGTACATGGATATCTACTCGGAGGTGCAGTCGTCGGAGCCAGCGGAACTGATCAATTCGCCATTCGGGGGCCGCTACTGCGGCACCATTCCGCCGCGTCGTCGCATTTCCATGTACCGGGCAGTTGCGATTTCTTTTTTTAGCAACAAGAACGTGACCACGGACCTGTTCGAGGGCACGTTTAGGTTTATAAATGCATGTGAGTAGAGCTGCCATAGGAATTACCTTTTTCCTTCTCTAAAAATACTGACCATCTCTTGTGATTTCCTCCCTCCCTCCCTCGAAAAGCGGAATATGAAATTGGCATACCCATTGCGGGATCGCCATGTTCCTACACGATAACGCCCAGCATGAGCGTCAACAAAACTGGTGCGCTCATATCGCCAACCTATCCAGGTGCCTATCCGAAGGATATGTCATGCACATATCAGTTTCTTGGTGAATCGAATCAGAGGGTTAGATTAGAGTTTCGTGATTTTGATCTATTTTTTGGTGGACCACAGTGAGTACCTCTAATGCTGCACAATTAAAACAAAGAAACACAGAGAAATAAACACCCAATTACACACACCACACACACACACAGCCGGTAACAAGTCAAGATCAAAGCAAGTTTTTCCAAGTTCTGGCCAAAACTTGCTCTGGTTGGCAGCCCACACTCTCAATCTGTGAACTATCTAAACCAAATTTACTCTCATTCGAATGTCTCTAAAAAACCACTCTTCTCTATCCAATCTGCAATTTGTCTACAACAAAATTTCAACAACATGAACAACTGAAAACTGACAAAACAGCTGCCCATTTGACTTCGTGAAAGTGTACGATGGTCCAGATAATTCGTCAGCATTAATCGGTACATATTGCGGGCAGCAAAGAAACTTAGTTTTGTATTCGAGCGAGTCGAGCCTTTTTGTTCATTTTTATACGTTATCGCGCACCGCAAATACCCAAAATCGTGGCTTTAAAGGAATTTATGAATTTAGCGAGAGTTTTGTTAAATTAGATTTTATACGTAAGTATTGCCAAACATCCTTAACTATACACAATCTGTTTGTCGTTTCAGTTCTGCCTATCCCATAACCCTGGCAATCATTTTGCGGTGCCCCAAAAGGGTTCTTGAAAAAGTGAGGCCTGCTTTTTGGGGGCGCCCCAAAATGGTTGCCATAGCGAATAGCATTTATCAGCTAATTGTATGTGCTTGAACCAACCTATTCACTGGCTTTGTTCGTTTTGTGTGCTCTTTAAATTTCAATTTATCCCCCTGTCGACACTACAAATTTTAACCTTTCCACACTTTCTCTCCACTTCGAAAACAAAAACTATTTCTACGCTATCTGGTGATTTCTGCTCTACTCTACAATCTACAATTCGACCTGATCCGATCTGATCTGACTGCTCTATCGAAATTCCAACTCATTATTCGCTACAAAAACGAAACAACAAATTGTAATGAAAATACGTACATCAGGTGAAAATGATGGCATTCACATACGTGGCTCAGAATGTGATCAAAAGATTTTATCGAAGAAGGAATCCACTGGCTTTGTGCTCTCACCCAACTATCCCTATCCCTATATACCAAAAACTGTGTGTAGGTGAGTCGAACAGTCTAAGTAGTTAGTATTAAGTGTGGTAAGTGATTGTAATGCTTGGACTATCATCTAGATATTTCATCTATGGCATGCAGGATGCCCAGCATCTGGAGCGTGTACGACTCGAGTTTAACGCTTTCAATATACCCAAGGTGGAGCACAAGGACAAGGGCGAGTAAGTAATCTCTTTAACCTATAAAATAACTTACAATTATATAAACAAAGAACTTTTAAAAGATTACTACTTTAAACAAATAAATAACTTTAAGAAGATTACTACTTTGAATAGCCTTAGCGTTAATACGTAGTATGCTTATAATACATGTGAAATACAAAATACATAATTTTTAAAAGTTGTAAAACCATTTCATGCTTTAAATTATTTTACTGCAACTAACAACAACAAGAGATCTTGAATATTATTTTTAAAATAAAAAAGATAAGAGCATATTTCTTTGTAAAATAAATATCAAGAAAAAATACTTTACGTTCGTTTACAACACAAAGTACTTATAAATACCATGCTTATAAAAAGGCTGAATGAAAACTAATAGTTGTCAAATTTTTTCGGAAAGGTCCAACTGCACGGACGGCTATCTAAAGATCTATCTGAAGGGCCAGGAGACGGCCGATGCCTACGACAAGTTCGACTACGAGCTGTGCGGCAACGAGACGCAACGGGTGATTAGCGAGGGGCCCCGACTGGCCATGGTCTTTAGCTCGGGGGAGTTGCAGGGTCGTGGCTTTAAGGGCAAGTACACCTTCGAGACGGAGTACAAAATTCCGGGAACAGCGGCTCCGGACGGAACCTGCAGCTTCACCTATGTGAGCAGCTCAAAGAAGCGCGGAGAACTGAACAGTCCGCGTACCCCTCCAATTATCCGTCGGATACGAACTGCTCGTACCTCTTTTTGGCCGAGGCCGATGAGCAGGTGACCATTGTGTTCGACCACTTCAAGATCAAGGCGGACAACAATGCGAATGCCACAGCGGGAGCTTATGGGTAAGTTGAGGAAAAAATTAATTTCATTACTAGCCACACAAGATCAAATATTCTTAATTTGAAAAATCATCATTTCACTTTTTTAAGAAGAAACGTTCTTAATATCAAGACAAGTGTACTCTCAAGTTTGTACTTCGACATAAAAAGATTTTTAAATATGGATGGAAGCAGTCTAGCTTTTGTTTTTATAGAAACGTATTTGAGAATTTGAGATTAAAAAGACCTTGATTTAATTTGAGTTTCAGAAAATCGTTTTATGAGAGCAGTTTTTTTCAGAGTCCTTAGTATTCTATTAATGTTCAATTATTATTAATTCCTGAAGCTCTGGCGCCTGCTTCGAGGACTGGCTGGAGATGTACGTCGTCTACAGGGACAACAACGACCGCCTGCTGGGCCGCTACTGCGGTCAGACAGCCCCCGGACCCGTCGAGAGCCCGCGGGGAGCGGTGGGGCTGCGGATCACCCTGCACACGGACCAGGAGAGCGTGGCCAGCGGCTTCAAGGCCCGCTACTTCTTCGAGTCGGCCAAGTCGGATGCCGGCGACTGCGGCGGCAACTTCAGCAACCAGGACTCGGGCCTCATCACCTCGCCCAACTGGCCCGCGGGCTACAAGGCGCCTGGCCGGGGCATGGCCTCCAACGCCTGCAACTGGGTGATGAAGGCACGCCCCGGCTACAAGCTGTCCATTCACTTTGAGCAGTTCGGCCTGGAAGGAGACCCAGCCAGTGAGTTATTAAGCCATATTCAATCCAATTGCTACAATAACTACCCAGAAAACCAATGGTCTTATATTTGGTACACTATTTTGTATAATTTGATGATACAGATTTTAAAACGCTGTTTCCTTAATTTTGTAATAAGAATATTTTAAAATTCTAACATCAATGTTAAAGTTTTTTAATGTATAAGACAGCATCGTATTGACAGCGTATCGTTTTCTCTATAACTGATAAAATATTAAAACCAGATATGCCCATTTTTTTAAAGTATTGTTTTAGCCAATGTACTCTTTTTTAGAAAATTGTTTAGGAATATTATTTTAGACAAGATAAAATGTAATTTATAGTTGTTAATTCTACCTCTTTCCTCCAGATCGCGGTTGTCCTGCTGCTGTGCTGCGGCTGTGGATGAATGTGGACTCCGACCAGCCGCCGATGGAGCTGTGCGGCGAGAAGCCGCCCGTGGAGCAGTGGCACTACACCTCCACCGGACAGACGGCGCGCATCAGCTTCACCACCAGCGACAAGACAGTGGGTGCCCAGGTGAGTTCTGGCGGGGACACGAGGAACAAGATGAGTAACGTCCAAGAACGTAACCTTCAACCAACTGATTAATTCACAGGGCTTCCGCATTGTGTGGACCGAGATCCAGGACTCCGGCCGGGTCCGCCGTCCGTGGGGCTGCACTGTGAGTCCACGTACCACTTCCAGTGCGGAGCCGGATACTGCATCTCCGACAAGCTGCGATGCGACGGGGTCAAGAACTGCGGACCCGGCGACGATACTGACGAATTGCACTGTGAGTCGTGAGTGAGTCGAACGGTTCAGTTCAATTTTTATTTGCCTTCTTTTGCCTAAGTTTACGTAACGAGTATCTTAAGTTTGTCTCGTGTTTGTGTTTCCAGTGCCGTCCGCTGTGGGGCAAGCCATTCAGTTTCCACTTTAATTTCCCTTGGTTTTCCACGGTTACATGTGCGATCTTGCGTTCCTTACACTTTTCATTTGATGCGTGAAGAAAACTTGAACCCGACGAAACACTTGCAAACCGTTAACCACTAAATATAACAACTATAATAACCTATACTAACTTAAATACCAACTAAAGTGCCCGTTCCGAGGCGCACCCGAAACAACCCTATATTTCTCGCTAAGTCTTTTTGCACCTAAGTATTCGTATTTTGTCCTGAACCTTTACTAGCTGTTTTGTTTCCTTTTCCTTTTCGATGGCCAGACTTTTGTACATACTTCTTCTTCTTCGATAGCCACAGCCCAGGGTGCTACCCACCATCCTCTGAGTTACCCAACCCCACCCCACCCAAGCTTCACCAATGCATTTCTCTATTTTCACCCGATTTCTCAGTATCTCCACACTCACCTCGAATGGCATTCAGCACACAGAAACAGACCCAGATATCATAACATATCAGTCTTGGGGATGCCTACAGCCACGCCCACACTAAACATCTTTCTCTCTTTCTCTCTCTACTTGTCTAATTCTCCCTCTGTTTCTCTCTGTTCTTTCTTTTGTCTCCACTAACAAAACTGAAAACTAAAAACTGAAAACTGAAATCCACTACCAACTACAAACTTCGACTGTGAAACTGTGTAAACAATATAAACCCCCTCCTCGAACCTCAAATCGCAAAAATCAAAAAAAAACAAACCTTTACCCTTGGCACAGGTGACGCAAACTCCACGCATTTGCCCACATTTCTACAGACATTTGTTTTAGCAATTATGGCACTAGTGTTAAATACGTACAACTAAAGTTAAACAAAATCCTGAGAGAACGAAACTCGAAAAATCAAAATTTTTAAGTCGAAATTGGAATTGGAATTGCCACGAGAATCAAAAGCGTGAAACATAACTAAGATAACGAATTAACATAAACGGACATTCTGATAGCCAGAATTTGTACTCATTTTTCTAACAACAAAACAATTGCAAGCGAAACGAAGCAACCAAACCAAAAATATTAACTCTAATACTTAAGTAAAAGAAACTCTTTGGTCACAATTAACACGTGAGTTCCGCATAAGCTTGTCTACAATCGATCCACACTCCACGCTCATGACATGCACAGTGTTCCAACCAGACACATGTCACCCCAATCTAGAAAAAGAATTCAAAACCCATAACCCTAAACCCCGTAGAATGCCACAGTACAAGGAGATCACAGTTCACAGCCCAATGATAATACGACCATCCCAAGTTTCTCTTTGTTGCATCTTTCAGTTCACTACAATCGCATTTTGAGAGTTGAGTTTATGAGCATGCCTCCGTTTTTGGTTCTGGCTTCTTTGTGTTCCGCACCTTTCCCCACTTGTCATGTGCACCGCATCTTTCCGATGTATATATAGTTCATATATCTTCCTGGTGCCTTTGCTAAACTGAACTGAATATTCTAAACCGCCTAACCCTAAATCTTTTGATATGCTAAACTTGTGAAACCCACTTTAAAAGCCGATAAGAAATGGAAACCACAGCACACAGAACAAGAACATCAAGTTCAGACTCACCCACATGACACACACTCGAAAATCTCAGCTAACTAGAGATCCACACAACACACATTCCTAACTATAAACCATCTAATCTTCTTGATCAACTTACTGCATAGAAGGGCTTGTGTCATTAACTAATTTTCTGTCCTGTGGTCTTGCTCTCCCCCCAATTTACTGAACCTCAATAGGTACCACGGAAGCGGCCGAGGAGGACTACGACGTCCTAATTATAATAACGCTTCTCGTCGTCTCGTCCCTAATCTGTCTCCTATGCATACTCTGTCACTCCAGAAGAAACCGTAGGAACCATGTCCGTCAATTGGGCCTACATCGGAATGCACATTACGACTCGCAGACCAGTGCCACGGGTGAGTTTGTTGTTATGATATGATATTGTATGTTATTATACCAGATATGATAAAAATATTTTTGGTTTTGTTTTTATAGGTTTTCTTTGAGTTTGGTTTAATTTACATTTTTTCAAGGTAAACTTTTTTTGTTTTTACTATTACTATTTGTATTTTTCTTAATTTTAACTAAAGGTTTTTCAATCTAAGAGAACTAATTCTTAAAGTTCAAAAATGTTTTTTTTTTTTGATTTTAAAGAATTATTAACATAAGAGGCAGAGTGGAAGTAATTTTCCACTGTTGCACACTGTAAGCGTGGCGGCAGAGAACGAGCTTCGGCTGCCGACCGCTGCTTGAAGAATTATTAATTTTACTTTATAAAAGAATATAAAATGTATTTATGTTGTATATTTTTTTATGAACATACATACACAGAGAGAATTCTGACGTTTCATCTGAGTTAAAATGTTCTTAAAAATAGGAAAAATTTTTTTTTTTTAATATTTTTATTTTGCTCGAATCAATTTGATTTTGCGGAATTTATATTGTATATCAACAAACAATCTATTAGTCCATTCAGTGGCGTATACTTATCAAAAGTTGTTAAATAAACTCATTTAACTTTTCTCTTCTTACCATTCGTTTAGTATTAGAATATTGATACCAAAATGTACTTAGATGGTTTTTAAGAACGATTTTTCAATTCAAGAACAATGTACTTAAAAATTCTCTCTGTTAGAACATATTTATAATAAATTATTTCAGAAATACCTGTGTCTAAGTTATTAAGAATTAACTAAATTACGATAACTTTATAACTTCCATTAATTTCCTATTTTATTGAGCAGCGGGTCTCAGCTCCAGTCGCAGGCATCTGCAGAGTGGTGGCGCCAGCATCGCGGGCAGTTTGCATGGGATCAACAGCGGCAACCTGATGATCCCGCCCGCCCCACTGCCGCCCACCAGCGTGCCGCCACCGCCCCACATCTGCATCGCCGGCGTGGACATGGGAATGGGGATGGGCATGGGACACGGGCTGATGTCCAACGGAGAGGACGACGACGACGATCTGGAGCTCGACGAGGACCAGCTGGACGCGGACATTTTCATCAACGATGTGCACTTCGATGAGGACAACATCGACCATGTCAACCAAATGGCGAACGTCTAACGATGGTTCGGCGCAGTTGTAGGCACTTTTATCGCGACCTTCAGTTTCGGTTTTAAAACGCATTTAGAATAAGGCTAACTAGGTAATGGCGAACAAAGCAACTTTGCAGAGCAAGAGCAGTAGATTACACACACTCCCACAGCGCATACTGACACGCAGACACAGGATCACACGGATACAGTAAAACCGGGAGGAGGACAGAAACAGAAATTCAAAAGTTAACAATACCTAAAAGACAAGAAAATATGCAAAAATGCGAATTGATTAAGACATAAATTTAATAGCGAGCGAAACGGGATGGTTAGTAGGCATTATAGATCGATAAAGATGGATAAAGCGCAAGCGAAGCTAAATAAGTACAGTAGGGCGAGCATATTGTAGTTGCGATAACACGATTAGCCAGAAGCGTTTCACATAAGTAAGGAATGATGGCGGAGGAATAAGAAACAAATAATAGCTACATTTAATAACTATATTATACACATAGCGAAATACGTACGATGGAATGGAAAAGGACGCACAAAAAGCACAGGGCGATAGGCGGAGAAACGGATGTGTAAAAAGCAAGGAGACGCCCTGCAGCGGAAACGGAAACGAAAACGAGCCAGAAATAGCAGGCGGAAGTGCAAGTACGAATCATTTTCAGAGCCACAAGAGACCGCAGACAAGACGAAAAATAAAATAAAGTTGTTGATTTTTATATTTGATACGAGTAATATTTAGGTGAAGCATAAATTGAATTAATTATACAACCGAAGAAACGAAGAACGTAAGCGTTAATAAAACAATACACACATTCGCAAACCGATAGATAAACCGATAATGAATAACGGCAGCAACATACTAAAGGGCATAAAACAATAATAATTAACTACCTTTACATACGCGCATGACTTTTTATTTACACATTTTGTACAAAAAATCTTCGACCCTTGAGGCTACACAAATCAAACATACAACAACAAAAAGGCGAAGAAGAATAATGCATAAATAAAAGAATTAGTGACTATCAAAACTGTATCTTCCAGCAAAGAATAAAAGCAAAGAGTTAAATGACGCTAAATCGAAAAGTTTATATGAGAATAAAAGAGGAAATTTAATAAATTAGCGGCCCCAATGAAAATGGAAAATGGCGAGAAATGGAAAGGAAATAAATTCAAAGATTTTTGTCTATTTAAGCACATTTTTATAAACATTTAAGGCGAACCAGAATATTTATAAAAATGTATACGCTAATGGGAACGATAATAATAAAGTAAATTATACAAGAAGCTAAAAACAAGAATCTAAACACAGAGAAAACCAATATTAAGTTGATTTTTCGTTGTGTCAAATGCATTTGGCAATCTTTTTATCAAATATGATTTAAGTTATTTTATAATCTTATGCATACAATGCAAATCTATTGCGAGTTGTAAGATGATTTTGGTTCATATCAGTTTCCTCCGTTTTGGAGCTAAATGATAAATTCCCTAACATTTCGTAAAATAAATAATAATTATTGGTTTCATAGCGCACGTACGTTTTGCAAAAGAAAATTGAGAAAATTAAAGAATATGGCTTAAATCAGCGATGGAAACATAAACCCGTTTAACGTAAAACCCATTTATATAATAAACGTATGTAGGTGTTACAAAAATGCTACATTAACTAAATAAAAAATGATAAAAAAGCAAAAGTAAATACAATTACATTGATGAAGTAAAACGTTGTTAAATTGTTGCATAAAAAGCATAATGAGCAAGTACTCCTAGGAATTAATTCTTAAAAATAAACTTTAGTTTAAGTGTACAAATTTTGTTGTTGTATTACATTAAAGCCGAGAAGAAAACCCAGAAGCAAAGAATTCAATTAGTTAATAAAAACTCTAAATTTGTGTTCTAGCAATAAAAATTAAACATAAATTTAAAGAAAATAGTACTAAAAACATAAAGCTAATAAAATGTTCAAGAAAGAAAGTCCCCAAAAAGAAACCTATCCCAAAACAAAAAATGTTCTAAACTAAAAAGTTTACTAAAGTAACACAAAGTTAAATTAAAACACCCAAAAAGAGCAAATGTTAAAATTACAATTAAACCTAAAAATAAGCCACTCAACGGAAGGAGTCGAACACATTTGAATTGAGAGACGTTTTTCAAATTTCAAAATCCAAAAACAGAAGTCAGAAAAACCGAATCTCGGGCGCACTTATTGGCACAAAACATGGCGCCGTTTGCCAAAGAGAGATAAAGAAAATCCCGATAACAAAATAGTTGAATAATAAAATGCAGAACAAAAATTTCAAATTAAAAGGAAACACCTACAAAAACAATTCCATGTTAACATTAAATATAAATAAAGGTAATTAAATAAATGAATACTAAAACCAATTTAATAAAATGTTTCTTAAATTAATTCTGGGCGCTTTTTTAAATAATTTTGTTTTTTGTTATTTAAAAAAAATCCCTAAAAAGAAATAAGCTAATCCCAAACTAAAAACTAAACTGATCCAGAAAAACTTTCCTTAGACTTGATAAAAATAATATTTATTTACTTTGTTTATTGCAGTCATTATTGGGAGGTTGATAAAGTAAATAAGGAACGTTACATAAAAGCATTTAAACAGAAGAAATGCGTAATTATTTCAGCTCTCTTTTGTAGTTCTGAGAATTTATGCGAAACTTCTCCAGCATTTTGTTTATAGCTTCCTCATCGCCATCGATCTTCGCCTTCTCTTGCTGCAGAACCTCCTGAAAGGTCTTCTGCTTAGTGCCACCAAGTAGAAATCCTCATCCGAAATGGTCACTTGCGCATCCGCACTGGCAGCACTACCCTCGTAGATGTCCAGAGCTTTGAAATCAAAGACTACGATGAGACGGTCAACTGCAGATTGACCCACAGCAAGGCCTATATGCCACTCACCCATGCTTTTGATGAGATTACCATCCGCATCGGTGAAGTTGAACTGGAAGGTGTTGACCACAGTGCGCCGGGCAGGATCCGATTCCTTCAGCTTTCTGCGTATCTTCTCAATGATCTCGTCGCTCTTCATCTTGCAAGTGAACCGGCTGAGTGTCGCTGCTCGACTAATTTAAGCGCTGGTCAAGCAATTGAGGCAAACTCTGCGGATTAGCGCTCTGAGAGGTTGGCGCTTTGCATAATGCTTAATTAAAGTCAATTTGTTTCATATAGACATGATTGAAGATATTGATGTGCGGTAACGGAGAGGGCATGAGAAAAACTGCAAGTACTTTGGGGTCAGTAGGTATATTTCGGTAGCTCAAATAGGACTACCCACTAAAACTAGGTGTGAAAGTCAATTGCTTATGTGATCTAGGGCTTCCACAGCTTCAGCAGTCCGTCCTCGCTGTAGCTGGCTAACAGATTTTGATGCGGATGATGGGTTAGGCCAATGACGTCCTTTTCATGAACCTAAGGGGTAAACATCATGTTAAAAATCAGTCTAAAGATCTCTAAAAAACCAGCTTACATTCAAAGTACGTTCCAGTTTGCCAGAGGAGACGGAGAAACAGTACAGCACCTGATCCTCACCAGCGCAGTAGATGAACTCGCCGCGCGGCGAAAGAGTGGCTGAGATAAAGGCTCCACCCTCGCGCTTTCCCGACGAGAAAGATCGCACAATCTGGCCCTGCATGTTCATAATGACAACCGTATTGGATCTGTTGCAGACAATGAAGTGCTCGGGGTTCTTAGGCAGGATGAGGACTGTGTTGACGGCCAGCTCGTTGCCAAGGGGCTTATAAGTGGCCACGCATTCGGTGGTTTTGAGGGACCAGACCTTCACTGTGCCGTCGGAAGAGGCGCTGAGCACGCTGTGGCCGTCGGCGTAAAGGTGGCTTCGTTTACGAAAGAAGAATGGCCCTTGAACTCCTTCAGCATCTTGCCGGACTTCAGGCCATGCAGGCGCACCGTGTAGTCAAAGGACGCACTGAGCACCTGGCTGTTGTCTCGTGAGAACTGCAAGCAGGTGATTCCCTTGGTGTGAGCCTTCTCGAACTTCCGCAGGCACTGACCGGTGATAATACGCCACACCTTGACCTGGCCATCTTGGGCGCCAGAGGCCACCATCTCGGAGTCCGGGAGAAGCTCAGCGCCAGCACCGCCTGCTCCATCATCATGAACTGGTCCTGTGCCTGGTACTTTAGATCCTTTCTCACCTTACCGGTGGTAAAGTTCCACACCTCCAAGAAGCCATCCACACTGCCGTGATTAGGTACTGCCATCTGGCGAAATTGGGCGCACTCGACATGCGACTTTTGGCCAAACTTGATCTGTCTGAACAGCTGGGTGGGATACATTTCCTCTTCCTGATCCTTCATTGCCGCCTTGCCGCGGAACAAATCGATGGTGGTGCCAGGCGGAAGGAGTCCCTGATGCTGTTGCCATTTCAAAGCCTGTCCAAGGAGCGCCAAGAGCCTGGAGGAGGGCACCACATGCACCTCACCACTCAGCTCCTGGGAAATGGCCGTACGCCGCTTTTCCTTGCTGCTGCCCTCCGCGTAGGCTTCTCTGGGATCGAAATAGGCGCGCTGCAGCATGTTTTCTAAAAGGCAATCAAAATAATTAAATAAAGAAAAGAACACCAATCTTTAAAAAGATGTGAACCATTTTAACTATACCCAAATGAATGTATCGCTCTGGTTCCTGCTGCTTCAACATGCTCATGGGATCCGTTTGTCGGAGCAGGGATCTGGCGGCACCCAATTCCCGCAGTTCTATCAGTTCTAGAACTATCTGCTCGTATAGATTGAGTAGCTTTTTATCCGGTAGCTTTAAGGATTGGGTCACTTTCAACACGGTGTCCCAGTGGCCATTGGAGATGTCCTGCACGAAACCATCCACGCTATCCACTGTGTTTAGGGAAACACCAGTTTCCTCCTGAAAATATATGTTATTGGATTGGTTATCCTTTGGAGAGTTTCAGTGCTCACCTGTAACGTCTGCAGGGTCTTCAAAAGGTTGGACTCCTTGAGATATTGCTGGATAAGCCGGATCACACTTGGTTTGGGGGAGGAAATCCGGAATTAGCCAGAACTCCTTGTTCTTCATTGATTTCTGGTACTTACTCGGCAGATTCGATTTCTATAGACATGGCTAGTCAAGTGCCTCGCTTAAAAGTCCCCTTAAAATAAGTTTTAATACAGGTTTTCAAAAATTTACAATAATATTGATAAAAAGGTCGTCTCTTCTTCTTCTTGAGTTCTTCTTCTTTCAACAAACACCGATAACTCTGCCCCGAACATCTGGCAGTTATCGGTTTCGCCAACAGCTGATTGGTAGCACAAAACAAATCGATATTATTTCACGAAATTGGTTAAAAAATAAGAGTTCTTGCATTTTTAAACCATAACTAATAAAATTAACTAGTATTTGTGGTGTTTTTAATATAAAAAGGCGTATAAACTACGTTACCTGTGGCAGGAAATGAGCAGAGGGATACCATAAAACTCATAGGTAATTCAAGCGGCTTTACCTAACATTTAAAGTTTTTAGGACCCACGCCATATCTATAAACTCGTACCGGCTTTGGAAATACTTACACACACCAAGTGGCCGATCAGCCGTTTGACAAAAACAAACATAACGATCGAAAAACACGAGTAAAATACAAATGGCGGTGTTCCCGCTCTTTTTGGTTTTCGGCGGTAAACGATCACTTCTGGCGGGTGTTTCAGTCACCGTTTGCCCGCCGCCGTGTACAGTACTCCATTGAAGCCGGATGTTCCAACTGCCACCCCGATCCGTCGGCTGTACCACATAAACATAGTAGTAACCTCCGCACTCTCCTCCGATTTCACGTGCAGATCGCAACTTGTCCAGACTGATGGCGGCGGCAGCAGACAGTTCGCGGCAAGGACGCAAGTACGCCGAGGGCACCCAGCCCTTCACCGTCCTCATCGAGGGCAACATCGGCAGCGGCAAGACCACCTATCTGAACCACTTCGAGAAGTACAAGCAGGACATCTGCCTGCTCACCGAGCCCGTCGAGAAGTGGCGCAACGTCAATGGGGTCAATCTGCTGGAGCTGATGTACAAGGAGCCCAAGAAGTGGGCCATGCCCTTTCAGAGTTATGTCACGCTGACCATGTTGCAGGCGCACACCGCGCCCACCGACAAGAAGCTAAAAATAATGGAGCGCTCCATTTTTAGCGCGCGGTGAGTGCATTATCCCCGTCTGTCCGGTTTGACCAGAATCGCTAATTTTTGGCGCGCTTTCAGCTACTGCTTTGTGGAGAATATGCGACGCAATGGATCCCTGGAGCAGGGCATGTTCAACACGCTGGAGGAGTGGTACAAGTTCATCGACGAGTCCATTCACGTGCAAGCGGACCTCATCATCTACCTGCGCACCTCGCCGGAGGTGGCGCACGAGCGCATCCGCCAGCGAGCTCGCTCCGAGGAGAGCTGTGTGCCGCTCAAGTATCTCCAGGAGCTCCACGAATTGCACGAGGACTGGCTGATACACCACAGACGTCCGCAGTCTTGCAAGGTAGCTGTCGACACTCAAACTACGTATCCCCGCAACCACTTAATTTGTTTCTCTCCCAGGTCCTTGTCCTCGATGCAGATCTGAATCTGGAAAACATTGGCACCGAGTACCAACGCTCGGAGTCCAGCATTTTCGACGCCATCTCCAGCAACCACCAGCCGTCGCCGGTTCTGGTGTCGCCCAGCAAGCGCCAGCGGGTCTCCAGATAACTAGTGAACACCACATGCCACTAAGCTCCATATCCCATATAGTACCTAATTGTGTGTAGTAACAGACTTTTTTTATAATAAGAGGCGCAGACGAGCCGATCCGCGGGACAAGGCAAAGAATAATCTACTTACACTTCAATCCCCTGATGAACGCATTCGTATTTTAACAATTATAATCCACATTATATCTCTTTCACAAAACTAGTTTGTAAGCCGAAAAATTGTAATAAAACTGTAAGTCTTTATGTTAAATGAAAGCCACTAACTATGTACTGTTTAAATAACTTGCAGTTTCACAAAGGCATTTCAGTAAAGAATTAACATTTTTATAGTTTAATTTTTGTTGGACAAAGAAATGAATACATGGTGATTGTTCCGAAAAAATTACTAAATATTTTCTATTTAATTGGGTTATAGATTTGAGTTACACATCACACCTATGAAGGTATATTATGGATGTTTAATTGTTTACTAAAGATAGTACAAAACGGTACTTCACTGAACAATATGTTGAAATACAAGGTAATACTTTATATATCTAATCACTCAATGTATAAACTTATGTTTTTAATTCCTCCCAATAAAACCATCTGTTTAGTAAATCGTCTTTATATAAATTTACATAGTTGATTTCATATTGGGCTTACTTAGGTGGTACAGCTTAATTAGGACACCTCACAAGGTGCGTTCCTTCCGTGTTCCATTTCCAGGTCCTGCTCCTGGTTGGGGTCACTTGGGTCCGTTCATGATCGGTGGTCGGACCCCGGGAATGGTTCCCAGCGGAGGAGGTGGTCCCATCATGGCCATGGGTTCATGATCGGTGGAGGGCGCATGCCCATCATGGGATTCATCAGCGGAGGCATGTAGGGCATTCCTGGCATTCCCGGTCGCGGAGGAGCTCCCATATTCGGAGGCGGATGGACACGCCCGCCGGCTTCGGGGGCGCCGCTCCTGGTCCGCCCGCAAACGGATTGTTCGTGATCTTGCCCGCTTTGAAGGCGGCGGTGGTGGCGTCAATCAAATGCTGGGCCTGCTCCTCCATCCACTTCTGGTAGTAGAACTTCACATTGTCGCGGTGCTTGCGGCCGGTGCAGTGGGTTTCCGCACTGAGGGCGAGTCGTGGGTCAAGTAGGTGTCGCAGTAGTCGCAATAGTACTTTGGCATTGTACTATTTTATTTAACTTGGCGTGGAAATGCCGAAAATTGTAGTTTTATTTATTTTTTCACGGCGGTGTGACCCTGTACGTCTAGGGTTGTCAAGTACGGTGAAATATGCTGCTGTCTGGCATCACTGTTATTATCGATAACTTTGAAGCAGAATCTGCATGCACAGTGGGCCATATGGACGAATCTGTCTTGTTAGAAAAAATTTTTTTTTTTTGGATAGTTAAAAATTATAGATTAATACAATATTTTTTTAATAATTTAATTTGTGCAAATTTGATATATTGAATTACACAACGACAAGAAATTTAAGCACAAGTTAAAGTTAAAAAGCGGATTTGGCACAAAGCTGAAAAAATTAAAATATCATATATATATTTTATATCTGAAGCTTATTCAGGGTTGAGAATTGTGATTTTAAAAGCCTTCTAGACATTTTTAAAATATGTGTTTCAATTTGGCTGATTGTCGACATTAGTGTCACAGTAGACATTTGAAAATTAAAATACATGATGATGTTTGATTTTGTTTCCTGATATAACTGATTTCATCAAAAGACAAAAAATTAAAAAACAGAAATTTTATGATGTTATTAGGGCCGTAAAGTTTTGTACAAATCGTCAGCACATTGTATTTATAATTTAATGTATTAATATATTTATTGAAAGATTTTTGTAAGCTCCAAAATAATAAGGTACAATAGGATATATCTTTTTTGTTTAAAATCAGTGACATTGCTATATTTTAGCAGCGCTTCGAACCGAGGCCTGCGTATGCGGTGAAATTTTGTATCCCCCTTCGACTGGCCACACTGTCTGACGTTTTGCAGTATGGCCACACTGCTCCAAGTTTGAATTGGCCACACCGGCAGTTATTTTGAAACCGGCAAAATACGAAGACGTGAGCGCGGACGGTCGGTTTGGTACTTTTGCCGGCTAACACACCTTTCGAACGACGCGTAACTCATAACGGTGGCCGGGCCATAAAATCGCCATAATCACGGGCAATTCGAGTGCGACGTGCTAATTATGCAAGGCTGAGAACTAGCCGGAAAATTAAAGAAAATTAAACAGGGGGCCTTAATAAACCAGTTGAATTAAACTTGTTTGTGAGTGCGTGTGAAAAGGCCGAGGAATTTGGCCCAAAGTAGTAGACAATAGCTAGGAGGCTGCGACTGCGACTGCGGAGGATTCAAGTCCAGAAGTTGCTCGACCAGTTTTCGGGCCTCTGTGTGCGTGTGTGTTTGGGTTACTTGGATTTTGGATTATTTGGATTACCTTTTTGCTCGAGGTGCCTGCGAAGCGGAGCGAATGAGGAGGAGCAGCTAGTGGCCGCCAGAGAGAGAGAGACACCGAGAGAGACAGAGAGCCAGGATGCCCTTCGTCCAGCGCGTGGTCCAGCCCGTCAATGTGGCCCAGGCCACGGCGGCCAGTTTGGGCCACGCCTCCGGGAGATTCCACTGCACTCCCGGCAAGTGCCGGAACAACAACTGCATCAACAAGCAGTCGCCGGATGGGGATGGAATCTTGAGCCCACTACCCAATGGCCATGGCTCACCCACATCCCTCACAAGGGTGTTGGTCCACCAGCGCCCTCGTCGGTGGAGGATCAGCCCGTGCCGCCCGCTCCGGCGCCCATGAAGAAGCTAAACACCATGTCGAGTTCCTGTCCACCTCGCCCACTCGCCATCAATCGCAATCCCTGCCCAATTCGCGGCATCCCAGTCAGCAGAGGCCTGCGCTGGCCAGGATCGCCAGTGCCCCCCAGTCGCCCACCGCCGGCTCCTCGAAGGTCATCTCCGGCCACGAGTTCGACTCGATCAGCAACATCACGCTGAGCAACGCCCTGCGGCAACTGGCCAGCCTGGTCCTCATAGCCAGCGACATCTTCGACGACCTGCAGCGGGATCTGCAGGCGGTGGGCGAGCGGGCGGGCCGAGTGCAGCGGAAGATAGCCGCCGTGGAGCGCCGCGTCTGTGCCTACGATCCGAAAACGGTCACAGTTCGTAAGTAGACCCATTCATCATCTTATTTTCAATCAAGATCTTGAGTAGTAAGTAGTGAGTACTGGATTCCCCTCACGCTTCCCACCGCCCAAAGTCAAGTGCCTTATCAGGGTCGGCTTATCATCCTATCATCTGCTGCTTTGTATGCGCGGAACCGCTTCTGTGTGGGTGGCTGTTTGCCGGGGAACGTGCTCCAATCTTATCTGCTTTCGCAACACGCGGGGTATTCAATTTGCACAGGCGAAAAGGGAGGAGCAGCAGAAATAAATAAGTGAGAGAAGTGAAAATAGAAGGGCTCTTCAATACCCTATAGGGTATTTACTATACCAAAAAGTTTGTCTGGAAAAAAAAGCCAAAAATTATTTTCCTTTAATTTTTTCAATTTTCTTTAGTTTTTATTGAGTTCTTGAGAATACGCAAATTCCTGGAACCTGACATTGAAGAATTTTCAAAGCTATTTTTAATAATCTCCCTAGTTGATTTGATTTGTTTTTTATGGTTCTTTGAGTCACGGAATTTTGTTCATACTTTTGATATTTAACTACTTTTTCAATGCTAAAGTACTTTTATAACAAAATACGTGATTTTTGGGAAACTCTTTAAGCAATAATTTTTGTTGTTTGTTTTTGCTAGACTTTTATTAGACTTCTTATTAATTTTTCTAATATTATATTTTTGAGAACCTAAATACTTAAAATATTAATTTTCGTATAATAAAATATCAGTTCTTCAAGCTGGGTCTTGGCTATTGGGATGGCAAGCTAGACTTATAGTCGGCATACCTTTCTCAGGGCATCTTCATTAAAAGAAAACGAGGGAATACCGAGGCGGTGGAAATTAACACCTTGTTTACTTTGTCGCCTCCATCGTTTTGCTCCTCCATTATCCCCAGGTGGAAGAGTGGGTGTGGGTGGGGCTGGGTGGCCTGTTATACAATTAGCTTCTTGGTCGCGTCCAGCGGAGGCTTCTACAATTACCAAAGAGCTGAAAGACTTAGATAAGCGGTCTAAAGTCGTTTGGCTCATTGTTTTCGCGACCTTGTGTTAAATACCGGCCAACACGAATGGCCATTTATGTGGCAAGTGGCGTAGATGTTGTTGCTGTGGCAGTTGCAACAGCAACAGGTTATCTCCAGTGGCTGTCAAACTGCCTGATACGTATTTTGCACTTTGCGTTGCTCGGCACTTTATCGTTTTTTGCTGGCACTCCGAATTTTGTTTTTCGCTTGAAAACGTTCAATAACTTTATGAAATCTCTTCGGCAACTGGCGACGCTGACTGCAGCTCTTTTGCCCCGATATCGCTGCCATTATTATTGTGCACTTGGCTGTTGTGTTTGTGTACTCTGTGCCTTTTCTGCATGAGGAGCGAAACGTGGCGAGCCATTGTCAGCTGTCATTTGGCAAGAGCTCACTTTGTCCCCGCCTCTTGGCCCCTGCTCCTTGTCAGCTGCCCAGAAAAACAGAAAAGCAGCTGCTGCTCTTTGGGCTACTGCATGCGCAATCGAAACGCCGCACTAATTGCTCAGGTATGAAGCCCAGGGAAAACAAGAGCACCACACTCGGGCTTCCACACATATGCATACAGCGGGGGTCACGAAAATAGCAAAGAATGTATTCCAAATTGTACAAAGCTCAAAATATATAAGGGTTTCCTTTTGGTTAATACTGTCTAGCTATTACAATAGGACCCTCAGGTACATTTGGTTGTAAATGTAGTTCTTATTAATTTTAGAACATTTCTAAGACCCATCAAGTTTTAACAATATCTTTTCTTATGAATCTCAATGATCAACACTTTTGCACCACACACATTTCCCAGAATTTACATTTAAAGTGATGGCTATCTAAAAATTCTTACAAAAAAATTTTACAGTCGATTATATACAAGTACACCAATTTTATACCAGGTACAAGAAGAGAAATAGATTTAAAATAGTCCAAGACAAATTCTAATTTAAAATACTTTTCTTGAGTCCAATATCAATTTTCTGCAATTTTCTTTTAAAGTCAAGGCTATCTAAAAATACTAACAGGTGATGATTACAAAAAGCAAACAATGAAATGATGCCATTAAATGTATCTTAATTTATGCCACATGCTAGCCAAGTGTACGATAAAATGTAATAAATTGTGATGTAGAAAGTTCTAGAAACCCCTAACATAGTTTTATGTTCCATAATATCACCATAGAACTTGACTATTATTTCCACCTCCACTGTGGGCTGTTAATTTTGAAATTTGCAATTGCCTCTGGACCCTAAACTCCTTGTCCCCCTCACCTGTTTCTTTGTCCCAGGGCCATTAATGTGCCCATATTAGAAATGCCATTACATCGCGCCATTTGCGGCAACTGCTAACTGCCAGGCTAACCACCACTCGGAAAAGTGGCTCTTTGCTGGGCGAGTGTGCAGCCAAGCGTGCGGAGCAGTTGTCGAGGGTAATTCCCATTCGTTCTCCGGCCGTTGCTGCGGGCCTACGGGTAACCATGGCTATGAGCTACTATATCTGTCAATCGATCGGCCATGTTGCAGGGGAAGCTATAGAATGCATTCCTATAAACATACGTGAGCGGCATGAGCAAAATGTTTGGGCGCATCAGGCGCTTTTTGCGAAAGACGGCCCTTTGAGGAGTTCCGAGTGCCGCTGTCCACTTACGCACTTGCCCACTTCGGAAACTTGATCCCAAACGGTGGACACATGTGCGTGGGCATCCCGGAGATACAAGATCCGAGATACTAAGATACCGCTTAGATGCCCAGTCACACATGGCCATATATTCCAGATTGTTTTCTGCAGGAAACGGGCATTTGTAATTACAGCCACAGTGGGGCATAAATAACGCGAGGCCAAGAGATACGGCCCGCATCCCAGAGATACACGAAAAACCGAAACCGAAAAACCTGTTCCCACCTGCAGCATTGCGTGTCTGTGTGTGTGCCGCTGCCTCGAAAACTAAACAAACAAGCCAACGAAAAAAAAATACAGCCAGCTATGAAAATGCTTCGTCTACACAGCCGAAAAAAAAGAAAGATACATACTGGTGGTGCCCAGAGATACAGTATCTGTATCTTTGTGTCTCTGCCAGAGCGCACTTCTTTTTGTCTTAGCCA